CAGAGTGCCATGATGAAGAGGTCCGACAGTGTCAAGGAGATGGAGCGTGACATCGCCCCCAGGCCTTGCTCGCGTTGATACCGTGGCTTCCCATCGAACCGGCGAGCGTTCCGCCCACTCGCGATCCAGGTCGCGCCCGACAAGCATGTTCCGTGAACGCTCAAACACTACCCACGAGACGTCCCCGACCCGATCGCCTTCACGATCTGAAGCGATAGAGAGCGAAGCCGACCAGAGCGAGACGCCAAAAGCCAAAACTGCAGAGCCCTCTCCCATAGTCCCACCCATCGACACAGATGTCAAGGAGCAAGAGGAAGTGACACCGCCCTCAAGCCCGTCCAAGACGATGGACCCCCGGCGATGGAGCCCGACAAAGGCTAGTTGGCTTGAGACAGCCCTGAACAAGCCTGAATCACCAAAACCCAAGCCTTCGCCAGCGGCTACAAACCAGCCTGCATGGATGGTCGAGCTGAACAAGGCGAAAGCGCAAAAGTCTGGCAACCCGAATGCTGAAACGGGAAGGAGCGGCTCCATCTCGTCCAAGCACGCGGTCAACATTGGTGGACTTATGCGGTCTACGCCGATGGGGTCTGCCGTGAAGCCTTCGACAGCTGGCCTCGGAGGCATATACTCTCCACCAACACCCACCACCCGCTCAGGCTTTGCGGCTGTCGGAGCCGGCAGTCTTCGCGGCAATTTACACAAGCCGAACCTGAGCAGCGACAAGACGGAGCCGGAGACAAGTCCCGTGGAAGGTGACGCACCCACCACCCGCTCCTCCGTCATCAGCCCGTCCTCAGTGACAGGCAAAACGCGACCCGCCACACCACCGAAAAAGGATTTCCGCGCGAATCTCAAGCCGCGACAAGCATCGGGAGATGCCAGTGCTCAAGTCGAGTCGAATAACGAGCTGAAGAACGTGTTCGGCAACCTGCGACGAACCAAGACACAAAACTATGTCGCCCCAGATGAATTGAAGGGCAACATCCTGCGCGGTAAAGCAGCCCTCAACGCCACTGGTGGGCCGAAGCCGAGTGAGCGCAAGGATGAGTTCAAGGATGCCATTTTGAAAAAGAAGGAAGACTTCAAAAAGGCCCAAGACGAAGGCAAGGGTGTCGAACGTGCTTCTGCGCCGCCTATCGAGGAACCGATCCCCGAGGGTATTGCTAGGCGCAGAGCGCTCAGTAGGTCCACGTCTGGGAGAGCCGATACCACGTCGGGCTATGGCATAGAAACATCGTTGAATAAGTCGGCGAATGGACCGAGGCCACTGAGTTCTTTGTCAAAGAGGGACTCCGCTGAGTCTATGTCGACGACAAAGACGGCTGCTGAACCTGTCATGCCTGAGCTACACAAGGAGACCAGCGCTCCCGCACGTCTCCAGAATCGCCCTAGTGCTGGCGGTCTCGCGGGACGCTTCAACCAGAACCTAGCGGGTCTCTTGGCCCGCGGCCCTCCACCCATGGCTGCGAACAGCAGCAAGAGCGCCGACGACTCTGACTCCGGCGCACCCTCTGCACCTGTTGCAGAGCCCTCAGCACCTGGGCCTCAGCTCACGCACATGACTAAGGGTCGTGCTCGTGGACCCAAGAGGAAGGCGCCGACGTCTGCGCAGCCACCGGCCGCGGCAAAGACCGTGGAGCCGGCCCCTAAGGAGAACATGCCGTTCAAGCCGGCAGTGTCACCCAAGAAGACGGTCCCGGCGGTAGAGGCAACTCAAAGTCCCCGCTCGCCCCCAATGCCCAGCTCGCCATCATCCTCGTTGCCTCAGACTATCCAGGCGCAGGTCGCTGCGAAGGCCGCCATCAAGAACAAGCCCTCTCCTGTGCAGCCTCCTCAGAAGCCAACACCAACAGAGGACCCATCAGTTGCCGACGTGTCTCAAAAGCCACCGTCACCGCCCGTGACTAAGGCGAAGCCTGTGGCCACGACCCCCTTTGGCAGCCTGCGTCGCACGCCGCCCCCGACAAAGCAGATGGAGGAAGAGCCGGTTGCAGACCCGGCCTCTTCACCACGCAAGCTGGACATGAAGCGAATGTCGAGATTCTTTGATGATTCAAATGCCGCAAAGCCTGCTGCCGAGAGCCCGAAGCTCGAAGTGGTCAGGCCGGAAGGTATTGGCAGGCAGCTCCCCAAGCCTGAAAGCCCACGCAGGGAGCTTCCGAACCCTTCAACCCCGTCGCGCGACCTCCCAAAGCCGCCCAATATTGGCCAAACATCCAGGCCTCAGAGCCCCCGGGAACTTCCCCGACCTCAAAGCTTCAATAGAGAGCTGCCAAAGCCCGAAAGTCCTCGAGATCTGCCGTGCCCTCTCAGCATCAACAAGCCAGAGAGCCCTCTGAAGGGGCAGTTCCGTAAGGAGAGCCAGCCTGGCACGCCCCTTCGCTCGCCTGTCAAACAGGCTAACGAGGTGACGACAATGCTCGATGAGTTCTTCGGCACGTCCCGACCCCAGCGTGAATACCGCATCGACACTGCCGATATCTTGATGAACCGGCCGCAAGTTCCTAGGGTCCGCACTGCAGGAGCCCAGCTTTTCCAGCTGTTTGGGGATGGCAAGAAAATGCCTGTTCCCATGCACAACGAGCGTGTCCTCTTCGAGCAAGAGATGTACATATGCCCTCATGAATTCACTGATAGTGCCGGCAAGAAGGCCTTCGAAGTTTACTTCTGGGCAGGTGACGAAGTGCCGGCTTCCACCCTCGAAGATGCGCAGCTCTTCGCAAGCCGCGAGGCAAGGGCATTAGGGGGCAAACTCGTCAAACTCCAGCAGGGCAAGGAGACGGCCGAATTCCTCCAAGCCTTGGGCGGCATTGTCATAACGCGCCGTGGCTCGAGCAACAAGTTCGACATGCTGGCGCCAAGCATCCTTTGCGGTCGCCGCCACCTTGGCCAGGTGGCTTTTGACGAGGTCGACTTTGCACCAGCGAACCTCTGTGCAGGCTTCGCGTACCTCATTACGCAGCAGGGCAAATGCTACCTCTGGAAGGGCAAGGGCAGCAACGTCGATGAGCTCAGCTGCGCTCGTCTGATAGGTATGGACTTGACGTTGACAGGAGAGCTGATCGAGGTGGACGATGGCGGCGAGCCGGCCACTTTCTGGGATGTGTTCGGCGGCAGCGGCAGTGGCGCGAAGCCCCACTCGGCGGACCACTGGCGGCTGAAGCCAAACTACGACAAGTACTGCGGCCGTCTGTTTTGCTCCGACGCCGCGTCCAGGCAACAGGTAAGCTTCATTCTGCCCTCTCTGTCATATGTTTCCTCAAGGAGCCGCGCTGACGCACATGGCCAGATCTCCGAAATCTGCCCGTTCAGCCAGGCGGACCTCAAGCCGAGCTCCGTCTACATCTTGGACGCCTTCTTCGAGATGTACATCATCGTCGGCCGCGCCGCGCAGGCCGAGTACCTCTCCTTCCGCAACGCCCTCGACTTTGCGCAGGAGTACGCCATCCTCGCCTCGGGCATGGAAGACCGCCCCTTTGTGCCCATCTCGACCGTCGTCCTCGAGGGCATCCCGCGCGACCTGAAGAGGGTCTTCCGCAAGTGGACCGACGACGGAAGCCCGACCGTCATGCCGCAGGCCGGCCTGAAGAGGGGCCGCAGCCTGAGGATCGTGCCGCTCACGCAGGCGCTGCAGGCGCTGAGCGAGTGAGCGTGCGGGCCGCCCTGCGCGACGAAGGGTGGCCGCGGCTGGCTGCACGTTATGACATGGAGTTTAAGAGGACACAAACCAGAGAGAGAGAGAGGTGACCAGGGAGGAAACCAAAAAGCGTTGCAAGACATGTTTCGGCGGCGAGGCGTGGGCGTTTTCGGGCGGGGTTGGCTGTTGTGGCATTTTCCGTATATATTGTTGTAATACAATGTATATCCTGTTCGCCCTCTGTTTTGATCGAGTCGTAACGGTTGCTTGCAATGGCGGCATCGGCTACCTGACCTGCGCTAGAAAGAAAGTCCTCTTTGCAAGAGCTTGCTTGCTTGGAGCGTCGCCTAGTTGGAGATACTTGGTGTCCACAACAGGCGCAAGCGATGACAGCCACCCCCTCACGACACAGACGCTTCTTTCGCATCGTCAATTACTATGACCATAGTGGACATCAGACTTGACGGCATCACGGGAAGCAGGGTGCAAAGAACGTTCACATCGTCAACATTCATCCAGAGTCATCAAGGAATATATACCAGACTTCCAGCTCCGGCCGAGCTACCATCCAGTCATCAAGAAGATGCCAAACCGAAATCTCCAAACCGGATCAGACCAAAACACCAAGCGCCCGCTCGTCCCAAGAACGAGGCTACGTGACCCGTATATGCACCCAGATGGGTATCCTGAAACAGAGAAAGAAGCGAAAGAACCCATACGATACCAAGCTCAACTTGAACGGTGACTTGAAGCGAAAAGGCAGGCAGAATCAAACAATAATGCTCTGCCCTGGCGCCGAAACAATAAACTCCACGCCGAGCCGAGCCTCCTCCTCATGCGCGAGCAGCTCGCCCAAGATCTTGGCGCCAGGGTCGACGCCATCCAGCTTGTCCTTGACATGGACAATGACGACCTTGAGCCCCTCGAGTGGTCTGGTGTCGAATGCAAAAGTAGGCAGCTCACCGTCCAGTGGCGTATCCAGGTCCCGCAGCGACAGCTCGGCCGTGGGGGTCGCGAGATGGGGTGTCTCGATTCCCGGTGGCGGCTCATCAAGCCGACTGCGTACCGTCTTGGGGCTCACTGGATCGCCAGTACTACCACCTGTCCGCCGGCGCGAGAGTCCTGATACAGCCTCGCTGTTCCCCCGCTTCCGCTTCTTAGCAGTACGGGCGTCGAGCTCAATAGAGGCACGCGCAACGTCAACTTCGCCGGCCAGAGTGCGCAGCTCGTCTATAATGAAGCTCGGCTTAAGATGCCCAAACATGCGATCTGACGCTTGGCCATCGTCATAGCTGCATTCGATAAGCAGGGCGCGCAGAGAGCGTCGAGCGATCTTTGGAGCGGCTTCCTGCCATATACCCAGATTTCGTGGACACGACGAAAGGGCGTCAGGCTCGACATCACCAAATATGAGAACCTCGGATCCCGTAGCAACATCGCGCAGGAAATACGCAGTTGAGTCATAGACGGAAGCAGTATGAGCATGGTCGTTGTATGAGGCTGGCGGGAGTTGCGAGTGTTGAGAGTGTTGCTGAATGGGAAAGGAGGCGCGAGGGCCAGGTGTTGGGGGGAGTGTGGCGGTTGGGTGATGGAAGGATCGCTGTGAGAAGTGATGGTGTAGTTGTTGCTGCTGGACGTGAACAGGCGCCGCTGCCATGGAGGAGGCATCGAAGGATGAGTAGCGCACAGGCGTGCCGCTGGTTGACGACTGCGAATTGCGGTGTGGGGGAGATTCGATGGGACGTCCGTGTGATATGGAGCAGGCTTTGACGGCAATACCCTCGGCGATTTCGAGATAGCCACGAGCATCGCCTTCTCCAACGGCCGGACTGCCACCGTCAACAAGTCGAGTGTAGGTGACGAGGCCGGCGCCGTCATTCTCGTCGGAGAGGTTCGGCCAGATGACATTGTTGAAGATGTGATTTTTGAAAGCCTCAATCGTCGCTGGTAGTCCGGCTAGGCGCTTCGGACGAGGACCGCCGGGCAGGCCAGCCGTATTGACGACAAATCCAGCTATGTGATCAAGATGAGGATGCGTGATGAGGTAGGTGTCGACAAGGGACCGAGCGATGTGAGCTGCGTTCGCGGCAGGGGACGCGGTGTGTACCTCAATGCCCGCGAACGGGCCACTATCGAGGATATGCGGCATCTTGAGTTGCGCCATGTTCTGCGGCTGTGTTTGCTGGAGAATGTTGGAGATGGCGGCGAGGTGAACGCCTGCGTCGACGGCGACCATGGATGACCTTTGCCATCCCGTGGCAAGGGCGCGGACGAGGAAGGCCGTAGTATTACTTTCCAAGGGCCCGCCACCGGAGCCCTGCAGATGTCAGTACGGTGTTGAAGAGGAGCAAAAAGAAAAAATACAGAGGGCATGTGCAGCGTTTCGCGTTGGCAAGACAGGGATGCAGGTATGAAGAGAGCAGCAGTGGTCGAGTCGTCACATGTCATCTCCTTGCTGGGCAGAGACTCAGGATGAGGGTTGACCAGAGCGAATGCATGAGCTTGTTCACCGCGAGGAAGATTGCACTTGCGATGGCAAACGCCGTGTCGCACAGCGCATCGCATTCTGAGCAGGTCAAGTGCAGCGTGGTCGACAATGGGCCCTCTTTTGCGACAGACGCTGCGCTTGTCCGGGGAGCGCAGAAGGGGCTCAAAACGGGAAGACGGCATCTCGGCGGTTGCGCGCTTACCAGAATAATAACCTGCAATGCCGGCGCATGTGCATGCGCAGGTGCTGAAGTGGTGGTCGCATCGTCCTGCTGCATTTCGGCAGCAGGAGGTTCAGCATCCCCATTCTCGACACGTCCCATGACGTGATGTTGCGGGGTGCGATGCAGCAGGTGTGGGGTGGTTGCTGGTGCTGGTGCTGGTGCTGGTGCTGATGCTGGTGCTGGTGCTGGTGGTGCTGGTGGTGCTGGTGGTGCTGGTGGTGCTGGTGGTGCTGGTGGTGCTGGTGGTGCTGGTGGTGCTGGTGGTGCTGGTGGTGCTGGTGGTGCTGGTGGTGCTGGTGGTGGTGCTGGAGCTGGTGCTGGTGCTGGAGCTGGCCGAGCTTCCGTCGGTAGTTGGGTAGGCGATCGATTGATTTGGAAGGTGAGACGACGGGCTTGGTGGGTTGGAGCGACGACAGTTGCTGGTTTGGTGTGCCGGTGCGCAGCTTGCGGCAAGCGACGAGACGAAGTGTGATGTGGAGGGATTGAATTTTGATTTTGGGTGTCGCACGTCGCACGTCGCAAGTCAAAAGTCGCAACTCTCAACTCATCAACCAGGGCGCGCGGCGGTCAGTGCCAATGACAATGGTCAGTGACGGCAAGCCGCCGGTTGTTCGAGTCAGGGGTAGTAGGTAAGGTAGGTAGGTGTGTCGCTGGAACGCAGGACGAGGAAGACGAGTCGTTTGGGCGGGCGTCTGTGGTCGGCGCGCGTCTTTGATCAGCGCGCATGTGATGTGTCGACTCTTGGGGGCTGGTCCCGCATGCGAATGATGTGCAGATGGGAGGAATGGCAGAGGGGGGTGGAGGTGAGGGAGGGAGAGGGAGGAATGAGAACTGAGAGCAGAGGGTTTGGCGGATGGCAAATGAAATGGTGAGAGGCAGGTGTTCCTTCTTCAGCCCTGCCGCCCGGTTGTGGTCCGGGTTGAGCTAGACCGTTGTTGCTTGCCGTGCTAACTCGGAGCGGCTGCTCTTGTGCTGCTTCTGTTCTGTTGCTGGAGGTAAGGACTTCGGGGTACTTTGAGGTAGGCACGCCTGTCCTGTCGCTACTGCCCTTTGCTGCTCATGCGTTGGAGCTGCTCGCCCGGCGGTCTGGTTCGAGTGGTCGCGCTTGCCGGGATATGAAAGGTTGGCGGCGGTGCTTGCCTCGCCGTTCGCTAGTTTCGGGATCTTCCTGCTACATGGAACAACTGCACCTTCCCTGTTCACCAGTCGCGACGACAGCAGGTGGCAGACGGGTGTAAGTGCCCAGCATGCCACAGCGCACGCCACGCCACGTGAGGGTGTGAGAGCAGCGTGGGAGAGCGAGTTGAGGGAGAGAGCTTTGGCTGTCTGGGAATGCCACCTTTTCCCTCACTATTCTTCTCCGTTTTCCCTCACTTTGACTCTGGCCTCCCACGAAACGCCCGACAAACGTCTTGTCTGCACACGTCTCCGATGGCTGCCGCCACGATGCACCCTGCTTGACAAAGCCAACAAGGCTCCCGACGGCTCAACGCTCCGCTCCACCTACCAGCCAAACAACCTTTTCGATCCGAGTGTGACGTGAGGCGGAAGATGCCAGATGAAACGACCAGGCCGCTGACTATATCTCCTTCCAATCAATTTTTCGTTTGGGCCGAGCTGGGCGTCTTCTCGTTTCTTATGTTCTTCGTTTCATACGAGCGTCCAGAGAGGGAATGTATCAAGTCCAAAAAAACTACTCTTAAAACAGAGAAAGCGCTGCTAGGCCCGCCAAATCGGGCGGTTTCTGCCGCCATTCTCACAGGCACAAGCAGTGCGGGGCGCAGGCCA